AAAGTTGAGAGAGTATGGGGAAAATTGTCCGCCATAGAGGCAGGGGGAAGGTTAGAAGGGGGAGGATACTGGGGACATTGGTGGTCGAAAATGTGCACTGGGGGAGGGATGAGTGTTTGATCATTGTATGACTGAAACTCAAATATGAAAGCTTTGTAAATGTATTTCACAGTGACTCATTGAAAAAAAAATCCCAATATGCCAAACTTCACAGCATCACTGTTGTCCACTCTGAGAATGAGGGTGCAGTGCTGACTAGCTTGGCCAGTGACCCAACACTCAAGAGTATACCACCCACCACATCCCTTGAGCACCACAGCCAAATGGGCAAAATCCGGTCCTGCAACCACCAATAACAAATGGGAAATGGAAAAAAACACTCAGTGGGGGTTAATAAACTACTTTACATGGGCAAAAGGGAACAGTGAAAGGCACCAAACACAAACGCAGTTTACATGGATAACAGAGACCATGCCCATCTCTAAACACAACCATCCCACACTCCTGACGTGCCAATTCAACTCTGGAGGATTTCGGCTCAGTTCTGGAGACGACCTTCCAATGAAGGGCACTGGCAAACTTGAAGCACCTTAGAGGGTGGTGCAAGGTAGATAAACTGTGAAGAGGCGAAGGCTGGGCCATTCGGGGTGGTTGGTCAGGACAAGAGTGGATTGAGAGCGGCCATCTCACCCATTTCAGAATTCTGTGGCAGGAGCGTTCCAGCCTGCATGTCCAGTTCCAGCCAGTCCAATGCAGCCCTGCTCCTCCCTGCCCAGGTCTTTCTGTCAAAACACATCCCAGAGGATGCAGTTCCTCCAAGCAGGAGAAACTATACAAACAGAATCCCTTACCCTAGAATGCTCTAGAATCCTCTAGCACCACTGTCAGATCCAAGACAGAGAGGCGCATTCCACGCTCCCCAGATGTCATTCCTTCAGAACCTCTCTGTGGAGCTGGTACCCTTCCATATACCCAACCACCCCCAGGAAAATATGACGTCGATAATTTTTGTTGTTGCTCCATGAAGCCAAACTCTGACATGGACACAGGGAGTGGGGTAGTGCCCAGAGGTAGTGTTTGCCTTCCAAGATGTCTTCACCCACAAGGAACAATGACTAATATACTAATCACTAATTGGCCCTTCCTGATTTATTTTCTGATATTCTATTTGGCTGGAGCGATAGCACAGTGGTAGGGTGTTCGCCTTACACGCGGCCAACATGGCCGACCCGAGTTCGATTCCTCCGCCCCTCTCAGAGAGCCCGGCAAGCTACCGAGAGTATTCGATATGCCAGACACAGTAACAACAAAGTCTCCAATGGAGACGTTACTGGGCCCGCTCGAGCAAATCGACAATCAACGGGAGGGCCTTTACCTTTTACCTATTCTATTTGCCAGTTCTCAAAGTTTTGTTGGAGTAAGCTATATAAAGTAAATCTGTTCTATGCCCAAGGTGGGGAGCGGGGGGAGCAGGCTGGGGCTGGGAGGGTGGAGGGAAGGTCACACTGGTGGTGCTGGAACACAAAATGCTTGAAACAACTGTAGAAGGAACAACTTTGTAACTCACGGTGCTTTAAATTAAAAATCAATTTTGAAAAAAGGAATAATGATTAGGGCTGGAGAGCTCAGTGGTAGGTGCTTGCCTGACCAGCATAAGGCTGCAAGTTCCAGCCCAGCACCATCACATGTGCCAGTGCAATGCCAGAAGCACTGCCACTAGGGGTCCCCAGTGCCCCAGTGTATGATCCCCAGCACCCTGCAACCACATATGTGACCTCCAGTCACTGCAACGGAGGAAGGACGTGGGAAAACGTGAATTTACAGTCGGCGGTACAGCTCAACAGTAGAGCATTTGCCTCGCATGTGTGAGGCTCTGAGTTTGAGCCCTGGGACAAAAAAACAAGTAAATTCATTTGATTAATTTCTTAAAAGAAGAAGAATGGTTAGGACCAAGTCTGATTGAGATAATCCCAGGCAGAGTTTCTTGGGAGAAGAGCACATCAGAGATTTACCAGACATTCATCACAGATTGTGGGGACATCATCATGGCACCAGGCCAGTTCCTGAACAGAAGGACTAAGCAGGTCATGGGTTCCCCTACCAAGATCCTTGAGAAATCAGCACAATTTTGTGAAAATTACAGGAATGCATTGACTTGACTCACACCAGCCAATTCTGTCCAGTGAGTTTCATTACCAAAGAGCCTCACCACCCCTTCAGGACATTCTTTACAACTTTTAATCAATTGTTAAGCAATAATAGACCAGAACAACAGTCCAGCAAAGAGGGGGTTTGCCTTGCATGTGGTTGACCTGGGTTCGAGCCCCGGTGTTCCATAGGGTCCCTAGAGCACCGCCAGCCATGATTATTTTTATTTTTTAATTGTTTTAATTGAATCACTGTGAGATTCAGTTACAAAGCTTTCATGTTTGAGTTTCAGTCATACAATGATCAAACACCCATCCCTCCACCAGTGCACCTTTTCCATCACCAATGTCCCCAGTATCCCCCTCCCCCATCCCAACCCTCCCCCTGCCTCTATGGCAGACAATTTCCCCCATACTCTCTCTCTCTCTACTTTTGGGCATTATGATTTGCAATACAGATACTAAGAGGCTATCATGTTTGTTCCTTTATCTACTTTCAGCACACATCTCCCATCCCGACCAATCCCTCCAACCATCATTGACTTAGTGATCCCCTCTCTATTCCAGCCAGTAGTGATTCTTGAGTGCAGAGACAGGAGTAAGCCCTGAGCATCTCTGGGTGTGACCCAAAATCCAAAACAAGAAAGAAAAAAAGAAGAAAGAAAAGAAAAAAACAAACGAGGTGCTTCAAATTGACCAGTTCGTTGACTGCCCCTTGTCTCAGTCTTGTAGGAAAGCAAAGAAAGCCAGCGTTCTACTGGGCAATTCCAGCACCACCTTCAGTGCCCCTGCAAGGAGAATGTCCTGGACTCTGACCATATCTCTGCGAGTGGAGAGCAGAGGACACAGCTCCCCTAGGACCCAGAGCTGCGTCCACCCACGTCCACACTCTGGGCGGTCCTTTGTAGCCTGCTGGAGACCCGCATGTGGGAAGAGACCAGCAGTGTGGATCTTTAGAACCGAGTGATGAGGGCAGGACGGGGAGACAGAAGCTGAGGAGGAGGTGGAGTTTCAGGCCAATGTTCAGACAGGGAGGCAGGAGGGCCAGGTGGGTCTGGGGTGTGAGGGCTAAGCACCCCATCTTCCACCCTGAAACATGAGACGCAGACATTTCCCTTTGGACAGGGAGCATTTAAAAAAAAAAATCTCTCCATCATCTCAGAACAGAGCGGCTCGCCCAGAGATATTCCCAACCTTGCGCCAGGCTGATTTCACCAGGGTGCCTCAGACAGGAGCAGACGTTGTCCCTCCACCTGTCCCCTGTCAATCCCAGCGGCCACAAACCTCCAGAACCCAGTGAAAAAACCCAGGTATGCGGGACTGGAGACTGAAAATGCCAGGCCTCAAGGGATGGGGGACAAGTGGCTCCTTCCCATCTCCCTGCCCCTTCAGGGTCCTGGCTGCCACATCCATGAACTGCCCCCGGGTGCCATTTACGCGCATTAATAGCCATGAGCCAGAGACTCACAAATGAATCTTGGAAATGAGTGATGTCCGTGGACCCCAATTATTTAATATTTTAGAATTCCAGGAGCGCGTGTGCAATGTTTCATGCTATTCATAACATTGTAGCACTGTGGCGCTGTAGCACTGTCCTCCCGTTCATCGAGTTGCTTGAGCGGGCACCAGTAATGTCTCCATTGTGAGACTTGTTACTGTTTTTGGCATATCGAATATGCCACGGGGAGCTTGCCAGGCTCTGCCATGCAGGCGGGATACTCTCAGTAGCTTGCCAGTAGCTTGCTTGCTATTCATAACAAGCAATACAAAATAAATTATTGTAAGCCTGTGGGGCAGTCTTGAGTGGTGGTGGGAAAATTCGAAATAATGGTGGTGGGATTGGTGTTGAAATATTGAATGTATTCAATTATTGTGAACAACTTTATGAAAAATACAATTTAAAAATATAAAAATCTCTCAATCATCTAGCAAGTTCCATCTTCTTGATGGTCTCCTTTCATCAAACCCCAAGAAATCAGAGCTTACTGCCCTATCAAACACAGGCATATTAAAGAGAAAGAATCAGGGGCTGGAGCGTTAGTACAGTGGGAAGGGTGTTTGCCTTGCACACGCCCGACTCTGATTTGATCCTTGGCACCCCACATGGTCTCCTGAGCACTGCCTGGAGTGATTCCTGAGTGCAAAGCCAGGAGTAACCCCTGAGCATCGCCAGGGGTGGGCCCCCAAAAAATGAAGAGAAAAAGAGGAAAAGAGTTAATGCCACTCTACACCTTTCTCTAACATTCGAACAAAAATCTGACTTACTCCATGCACCCGACTGACCCGGGTTCAATTCCTCCCTCTCGGAGAGCCTGGCAAGCTCCCGAGAGTATCTCGCCCGCACGGCAAAGCCTGGCAAGCTACCCGTGATGTATTCAATATGCCAAACACAGTAACAACAAGTCTCACAATGGAGACATTACTGGGCCCACTGGAGCAAATTGATGAACAACGGGAGGACAGTGCTACAGTGCTACTTCATGCGACGTCTTCCCAGAAGTGAAAACATGGATAAAGGTTTCCTTGATCACAGAAGGACTAAAAGCAGGTTATTACATTAATTCCTACAGACAAGGCAGCAGAGGCAAGGGGTGGTGGGCAGAGTAGGTGTGGGGCAACTTCCTGTGTCTATGCTGAGGCCCCCTAAAACATCAGCCTCTAGGCAGAAGACTCACTGCCTCTCTGAGAGGTCCACTTCATCTGAGCAGTTATTTATAAATAACCTGCAACCTGGCTGAGGTCTCGGGGGGCCGCGTTGCTATTTCAGGGCGGCCTGAGTTGGCTTAGCTCTGGCGGCCGGATGCACTTAGAGGCAAGGACGTGGCACAGCGGGGTGCGATCAGATGCACTTACCCGTCCCAAAGCTCTCCTCCCCACACAGGGACAGTTTGCTGGCATCCATCAGATTCCCGAAGAACTTCCAGCCCGTCGGAGTCTCATACAAAGCAATCTTTGTGGCGTGAGCCACCCTTCAAAGGCACGAAATCCAAGTTATATCCCAGCAGGGGCCGCGCGTGAGTTGGGGGTGGGGGGGAAGCTGCAGCCAATACTGTAATCAAGGGTACCACTGAGCATGGCCCCAAGGGAGCCTGCAGTCTAAGATGGGTGGAGAATTGTGAGAGGAAACTGGTGCACAGTGGGCTATTCTGTGTGGTATCAGGAGGATGCGGGTAGGATGAAGAAAGGGGCCAATTTCAATGACTGGGTTTCATTTTATTTAAAGAAGCGACAGAACTAGTTTTGAACCACATCGTCTGCTTTGGAGACAAGGCTGCAGCGAGGCCTGTTCCATAGGGGACGAGGTTCTGATGCCGTGATAGGATCGTGGTGAGCCTAGAGCTCAGTCGAGAGCTCAGCATTTTACAAGCAGGGGGACAGGACCCAGAATGTCTCGAGATGGGTCCCAGGCCACAGTCGCTGTGACCAACACGACCAGCACTTGCTCGCTTGCCCTGCACTGCCCTTTGATTTCAGCAGGAGGTGCCAGAAGCTCAGCACCCCACAGGGTCACTCACCTCTGCCGGCTTTATCCACAGGGGTCCCTGGTGCCTCTCCCCTCCAAGCTCCATCCCACTTCTCCCCGTAGACCTTTGCACTATTTGAAACCTTCATGGGGTGACTTTTAAGCTAACTTTCCTCTGAGCAGGAAGTCACTTTCCTCTGAGCAGGAAGTCACTTTCCTCTGAGCAGGAAGTTACTTTCCTCTGACTAGGAAGTCATTTTCCTCTGAGCAGGAAGTCACTTTCCTCTGAGCAGGAAGTTACTTTCCTCTGACTAGGAAGTCATTTTCCTCTGAGCAGGAAGTCACTTTCCTCTGAGCAGGAAGTTACTTTCCTCTGACTAGGAAGTCATTTTCCTCTGAGCAGGAAGTCACTTTCCTCTGAGCAGGAAGTCACTTTCCTCTGAGCAGGAAGTCATCCATGTGGTGTGACTTATCTTCCGGAAAGCTCTCCTCTTTGGCCAATGTATGTTCCGTTTGGGGGCCACACTCAAGGTGGTTTGGGTCATTCTTGGCTCTGTGATAAGGAATAACCCTTTGACTGTGCTCCGTGGAGCACAAGTGGTGCAAGGGATCAATCTGGAGTGGGTGGGGTCCAAGGCAAACAAGCTGCCCTAACCCCTGTACTGTCTCTCTGGTTCCTCAATGTAATATTTTGAACTCCCCAAGCCTTGTGCTCATTTACATTTTGGATAAATGCACCTGGAGTGTGTTTGCGTGTGCCTGGGCAACCGAGGGGGCTGGAGGAAGAGGGTCTCACTGAAAACTCTGTCCAAACACTGATCTGAATGCAAACGGCTCCTGCAGAAAGCTCTCTGCACACTGACCTGACTACATCTATGTATTAACATTCCATCAGGCTATTTTTGCTGCATCTCAGGCAGTGCTGGAGGAGGCCCAGGAGAGGCCCAGTGAATCCTGGATTCCCAGGCATTTCCTTTCCCGGGTCTGAGGATGAGGTGCTGCTCAGACCCTGCATTGCCCGGGACCAGCAGGGTTACCCCATTGGGGCCACACTGGGTCATGCTTGAGGGAGATTCCAGGGCTACACTTGGCCACGCTAGGAGGCCTGGAATGTGTCACGGGACTGGATTCCAGTCAGGTACATGCAATGGGTATGCCCTTGCCCCTTAATTAATCATTTTTTAAAACTGGTGTGTATGTGTGTGTGTGTGGAGGGGGGTAATATGGGGTAATAAGGGTGAGGTGTATGGGGTATGAGGTGAGTGTGGGTGTGGGGGGAGACGGTGAGGATGAGGATGCAGATAAGTATAGGGATATGAGGTGTGGGGAGGATGTGGGTGTATGTGAGGATGTGTGTGTGGGAATGTGGGGTGTGCATGGGGATGTGGGTGTGTGTGCGTGAACCGGATAGAGATGTGGGATGTATGGGGGGAGGTGGGTGTGTGTGGGAATGTGGGTGTGTGTGGGGAGGTGGGGTGTGGGGGGGGATGTGGGTGTATGTGAGGATGGGGAATGGAGGTGTGTGGGGGGTGTATGTGGGATGAGCTTTATGCAGGGATGTGGGGTGTATGCAGGTGGGGGTGGAGTGGGATTCTGGGGTGCCTGTGGGTGCACTATGTGTGGGGCCTACTTTGCGAGGCTGAGGTCTCCAGGATAGTCACCTCAAGGTGCCACCTACACACAGAGTCAGGCTGGAAGGGGAGATAGGGACGCTAAAGAGTGGGGGCCCTCAGAGAACCCGCCCACCGCTTCCTTCAGGGAATACCCAGGAACAGTGCGGAGGACGCCCTGGGCCCCGCCCCAACCCTGACCCACGGGCATGCGCTCAGGATGCGGGTCCGGGCGCCCAGGAGGCTGGCACCTACCGGTCCAGGGCGCCGCTGGTGGGCATGCTGCGAGCAAAGCCATGGACGCCCGTCCTCTGGAAGTAGGGGATGCTGGAGATGTTGGCGGCGATGACGGCCACCGAGTCCGAGGGATTCACGAAGAAGCCGTGCTTGCCCAGAATCATGTTCCGGTCCTGGGGGGGGGGGGGGCAAGGACCACCACTTAGTCCGGCCGCTGGAGACGCCAAATGAGCTCGGCGGGGGCTTTCGGGAGACAAGATGCTGGAACCGCCCCCCTCCACCCCCCCATCCCCCGCCTGGGGGCTGAGCCCCGACACTCCTCCTTGGGGGTCTGGCGCCAGAGTGGGGTCCCAGCTCTCTGCGCCCAAGGACGATGATGGCTTTTGTGCTTTATGTTAATCTTTTTGATCCATGATCTAACCAAATATCATCTATTACATTTACTAATATTTTTGCTTTTGAAGATATTGTCTTTCTTTTATTCTAGTTCTTTCTTTCTTTCTTTCTTTCTTTCTTTCTCTTTCTTTCTCTTTCTTTCTTTCTTTGGGTCACACCCAGCAATACACAGGGTTACTCCCGGCTCTGCACTCAGAAATTACTCCTGGCTTTGCACTAAGTAATTACTCCTGGCGGTGCTCAGGGGACCATATGGGATACTGGGAATCGAACCCAGGTCGGCCACATGCAAGGCAAATGCCCTACCCGCTATACTATTCTAGTTCTTAATGAAGTACCTTGAATGAGTTTGTGAAGCCAAGATTGGTTTCATTATTTAATTACTTTACATTAATTTCCTTTCATATCATGAATTCCATTTTTGAGGGAAGCATCTGAAAATTGAGCCCACATATGCTTAACTATTCGTATTTTTTTTTAGGGATTTTTATTTATTTTTTTTTCTTTTTTGGGTCACACCCGGCGATACTCAGGAGTTACTCCTGGCGGTGCTCAGGGGACCATGTGGGATCCTGGGAATTGAACCTACATCAGCCTTGTGCAAGGCAAACGCCCTGCCCACTGTACTATCACTCCAGCTCCAGTATTCATATTCTTTTATCTTTTTTAAATTTTTGCTTGACACCTGGCAGTTCCTAGGGCTTATTCCTGGCTCTGTGCTCAGAGATAACTTCTGACTGTACTCAGGATACCATATGGGATTCTAGGGTTTAAAACAAAGTTGGCTGCACATGTTCAAGGTTTACTATCTTACATGCGGTATTATTTCTTTGGCTTCTCATATTATTTTATAATTTGAAAAGAATATTGGTTTCATACTTATATATTTCCTGCTTAGATGATTCAAACTAATATTTATTTGACAGCATTACGTACTAATCAGAAGAAAACCAAAATGTTTGGAGGCAAAAGATATAATAATGTTTATGGCATTGGTGATAATGATATTCTTGACAAAGAAGAGGAGAGTGAAATGGTGAAAAAAGAGGTAGTAGTAATATTAAAATCAGATAAATCAAATAAAAATTTTGTTTGAAGATGGCCATAAAAAAAAAGGGACTGGAGTGATAGCACAGCAAGTAGGGCATTTGCTTTGCACGTGGCTGACCCAGGTTCAATTCCCAGCATCCCATATGGTCCCCTCAGCACTGCCAGGAATAATTCCTGAGTGCAGAGCCAGGAGTAACCCCTGTGCATCGCGAGGTGTGACCCAAAAAGCAAAAAAAGAAAAAAAAGGAAAGCCCCCCCACCCCCTTCTTGCATCAGAATTTGTGTTCTCCCTCCCCGGTCTTTTCCAAACTCTGGAACCCTGCCTCCACTCCTGAAGGAGAAAAGCCAGAGCTGGCTGTTCTCCCACCCTGAGCATCCAGGCAGCTTCCGCAGAAGGGCTTGGAGCTCGGGACCCCGCCACATGGCTTGAACCCGAGCCCTCGGCCGCCTCAGAGACCTGAGCAATGGGAGGGGGCAGTGCCCCCACCCCCCAGGCATAAGGATGGTCCCTATGTTCCCCAAGATCTCAATGGGAGGAAACTGTTCGATTTGAAACTGAAATTGTTGGGGCCACAGCTGGCGGTGCTCAGGACTCTGGGACCTGCACTCAGGGGTCTCTACTGCTGGGGTTCAAAGACCATACAGGGCACCAGGAATCAAACTCATGTTGGCCATGTGCAAGGCAAGCGCACGACCCACTGGACTATCACCCCAGCCCAGGAAACCATGGAATCCAGCAATGCTAACGGACAAAAGCCACACATGGGTCCCCAGATGTGCCAGACCCTGGTTGTATCCCTGACACCGCATGTAACCCTGGGGGTCCCTGATGTGGCCAGGCCCCGGGGGACTGTATCCGCAGGAACTGAACTTCTGATTGGCCAAGTATCACTGGCCACGGCCTCCCAGTTCGCCGGAGCAAGCTTGGGAGGTGCACCAAAGCCACTCCAAGATGTGTTTGATGACAGAAACACGTTGGACAGCATCCCTGCAATTCCACAGTGACAGACCAGACCGGGCTCCTCATCTGTGACACACTCGCCACTCACCCACGTCAGGGAACAGTCTGAAGCTGCCAGTGGGCTCCTAAGGCGGGTGTATCCCGTGCTCCTCATGCAGCTGATGTGGGTGAGTGACCAGGGACAGGCCCCACTCCTGGGAGACCCATAAGGGTCCTAGACCTAAACCTCTCTAAGGGCTCCTGGACCCTGACCAGCTCGGGAAGCGTCTCCCGCCATCCCCTCAGAGCCAGACCACAAAACGCCCCACCACTCCTGGTGGGCACGGGTGCATAAAATACACTGAGGATGCTGGTGTGGGACACAGAGGGTCCTGTCTGAGTTCAGCTGTGATGTCAGGAGCCATGAGGGACCCACTGCCTGCAGTCACTCATAGGCCCCTGGGGCTTGGTGGAAGCAGCCCCCCTCCTCCTCTCTGAGGGTCCGCTGGGCCCCCAGGCACCCCGACAGGCACCTGCACCTACCCCATCGCCGTCGAAAGCCGCTCCAAAGTCGTGCTCCCCCGACTTCATGGTCTCCACCAGGTCCGCCGCATAGGTGAGGTTGGGGTCTGGGTGGTGGCCGCCAAAGTCCTCCAGGGGAACGCAATTCACCGCCGAGTTGGCGGGCGCCCCAAGTTCTTCACACAGGATCTTCTTCACATAGGGCCCCACGACTGGGGAGAGCGGCAGGTAGGTCAGTCAGGCCCACAGGCCCGGGGCTGGAGGATAGACTGGTGGACAGTGGCCGCAACACAGTCCAGTGAGAGGGCTCGGGGACGGCCATGAGTGTCATGGGAGTGGAAGGGGCCACAAGGAGGAAGGAGGGAAAGAACCAAGGGACAACAAGCAGGGGGTTGCCTTGCATGTGGCAGACTTGGGTTCGATCCCCGGCACCCCATATGGTCCCCTGAGCACTACCAGGAGTAATTCCTGAGTGAAGAAGCCCTGAGCATCTCTCCGAGACGAAGGGGCAGGAGGAGGAGGAAGAGGAAAAGGAGAAGGAAGAGAAGGAAGAGGAAAATGAGGAGAAGAAAAAGAAGGAGGAAGAAAAGGAGAAATAGAAGAAAGAATAGGAAGAGGAGGAAGAAGAGGAGGAGGAAGAAGAAGAAAAGGAGGAGGAGGAAGAAGAAAAGGAGGAAGAGGAAGAGGAAAAGGAGGAGGAGAAGGAGAAAAAAGAAGGAGGAGAAGGAGGAGAAGGAAAAGGAGAAGGAGGAGAAAGAGAAGGAGAAGAAAGAAGAGGAGGAGGAGAAGAAGGAGAAGAAGGAGAAGGAAGAGAGGAAGAAATAATGAGGTGAGGTAGGGCAGGGGTCAGAGTGGTGGAGGCTGTCCCCTCCCCACTTGCATCAGGCACTGCGCCCCATCTCCTGTGCCCCCCATGGGGGGCAGCCTGGGGTCTCAGAGCTGGACCTGTAGCGAAGATTCTTGATTCACCCCTCAGGGTGAGTTGGCTCCAGGCCTGTGGAATGTTCTTCCATCTCTCCATCCACCAGCCCACCATGCGAGGCTGAAGGAGAGCAGCCCCCTCTGGGTGGATGTGGGGAAGGAGGGCTGAGGGAACTCACAGAAGCTACGAGAAGGAGTGGAGCCGAGACACGGCATGCAAGGGCACCCGCACCGCCAGAGTCGGGTTCTCAGATGAATCCTGGACGTGCCCGAATCACCCACGGAGATGCCTTCTCCCTCCCCCGGGCCCTCTGACAAACCCACAGGAAAGACACGGTCCAATGCTGAGTGCAACCACCTAGAATATTCCACCCTGAGGGGCAGCACAGAGGGTGGGAACTCATCACAGGACATACTGGCCCTGGGGACACTCTAAGGTGAGGGCAGGGTGGACGGCGTTTCCCCATATGGACCACGGCTCAGGGGGTTCTGACGTCACGGAGAGAGAGGCCTGGAGAAACGCAGATGCTGAGGCCTGAAGCCTGGTTCCTGCGACCAGCAAAGTCCACGGTGCTGACCAGCCCACGGCCCAGTGAGGGCCAACCGCACGGGTCCAGTTCCCTGTGTCAGCAGCCATCTCCGCTGACCCGGGCCCACGACCCAGGGAGGAAGAGGGGACAGAGACACATCCTGTTGTTTCTGGACTTAATCCTCACCCCACTCCTGTCCTCCTCCAAGAGAAGGCACCCGTGTGGGGGCCCGGGAGGAAGGGGCCATGCTGAGGACATCCGGCCCCAGTGAGAGCCCCCCCTGCCACCCTGGGAAAGAGAAGGGGGTGTGAAGGAGGAATGGGAGGTATCTCCTGAGGGGGAGGCGAGTGCCCAGGGAGCTGCTTTCTCCAGAGCCCAGCGCTCAAAATGGAAACACCGACCTTCACACTCGCTTGTCAGGAGGAATGTCTCTGCTATTTTTGCTGCAGACAAATTAGATTTTATCGGAGTGAACCCAACACGGGAAGGCTTCAAAGGAATGCCTGACAAACCACTGCGTGGGCTCTGGAGTAAAGTCTCTTGTGGTGGGGGTGTCCCACAGATCCCCAACAATGCAGGAAGCGGCTAGATGCCAAAACAGGGGGGGACCCTACCTCCGTGCATGGCGTCGATGCGGATCTTCAGACGGTTGGGGCCCGACAGCAGCTCTTTGAGGGCGTTGAAGTCAAAGATGTTTCTCAGCATGGCGGCATATGCTGCCACCGAGTCCACGATTTCCACTGTGAGAATGAGCAGCATTAAAAGGTACGGGAGGAAGCCATGGACTTTTGGGTGTTGATTTTGTTGCCTGCCACTTTACTAAACCGACCTATTGTTTCTCGGAGCTTTTCTGTAGAGTCTTTAGGGTTTTCTAAGTATAGTATCATATCGTCTGCAAATAGTGATAGCTTGACCTCTTCCTTTCCTATCTGTATGCCCTTGATACCTTGCTCTTGCCTAACTGCAATGGCCAGGACTTCCAGTACTATACTGAATAGGAGTGGAGCCTGCCTCATGGGCAAAGGGGAGAAGGCAGCTGGAATAGAGAAGGGATCACTAAGAAAATGATGGCTTGAGGAACTGCTCGGGATGGGAGATGTGTGCTGAAAGTAGATAATGGACCAAACATGATAACCTCTCAGTATCTGCATTGCAAACCACAATGCCCAAAAGTAGAGAGAGAATATGGGGAAATTGTCTGCCATGGAGGAGACAAAGATGCAGGAGGGCCAGAGAGATAGGACAGTGGTGACAGTGTTTGCCTTGCATGCGGCCGACCTAAGTTCAATCCCCAGCATCCCATAGGGTCCCCTGAGCACCACCAGGAATAATTCCTGTGTGCAGAGCCAGGAATAACCCCTGAGTATTGCTGGGTCTAACCCCCTCCAAAAAAACCCCTAAAAGATGCAGAAACTGGGCACATGAAGAAATACTAGCCTCACGGAGGATTCAACTGCTGTAAGTCAGAGCACCCATTTGTAAAGGACAGCTCTTAAACAGCTCCAGCTGACCGAGCCTTCCCATGCTATTTTATTTCATCCCAACTGGCAAATGCTGCTCACTGAAACCATGACCCTACAGGATTTCTCTCTCTCTCTCTCTCTCTCTCTCTCTCTCGCTCCCTCACACACACAGAGGCCTACCAGATACAGATGGATAAGGTGGTTTCTCTCTCTCACACACACACACACACACACACACTCCCAAGTCTTTCCCACTGTTTTTGCAAAACCAGCTTTGCAGAATAACTTAGCAGATAACTGTTGCAACTGTCTGCAGAAAGGACTAGCAGAAATTCACACTCCTGCAACTGTTTCTGTCTGACTTTGATTTTTTAAAACAGAAAAGAAAAGGGGTGGGAGGGGGCAGTGCTGGAGGGATAGCCTCTCTAGCAACAGGCTAGAGAGCTCGGCTTGCACGAGGCTGACCCATGTTTGATCCCCGTCATCCCATATGGACCCCTGAGCACCGCCAGGAGTAATTTCTGAGTGCAAAGCCAAGAGTAAACCCTGAGCATTGCCAGGTGTGGCCCAAAAACTTAAAGAAAGAAAATATCTAAGAATGATTACAAGTTGTGTTTCTGGAGAGAAGAGAAAACACATCTTTGTTCTGTTTGAAAACCCACCTCCTGGTTTTCAAAAAACAAACAGCAAAGAGGCTCCAAGCCCTTCCTTCTCCCTGTAGGACAGTCCCTGAACCCCAAGTCACATCTCTAACTATGTCAAGTCTTTCCCTTCCTGCATCATCTGTTGCGTATTTGGCTTCCTGGCCCAGGGGTGCTGGGCCCTCAAATCCCCTTCAAAAGTCCTATTTTACAGATGAAACGCTCACGGTCAGAACACTAAAGGCATATGCCCGCACAGCTGGGAGAGGACAGCTGGGAACTGTAGACACAGTGCACCAAGGGCCTTGCTCCCACAAGGCTCACCCAGCCATTGCCATGGCACGTATGTTTTGGTGTTATGGTAACAGGAAACACGACACCTACTTTCCTGTCCTTTATCAAGACCCAACTGCCAGCAAGACTTAAAGGTTAAAAAGGGGAAAACATCCAAGACACGAAGTATTGCTTTGCATACGGCCAACCCAGTTCAATTCCCATCTGCATGCAGTCCCCTCTGAGCACCACCAGGGGTCACTCCTGAGCAAGGCGCCCCGGAGTAACCTTTGTGCACTGCTGGGAGACACCAAAAAAGATTCTTTAAGGAAAAAAAAATAACACTGCCAGGAGTGATCCCTTACTCCTGACTGTGTGCTCAGGGATCACTCCTGGTAGTGCTCAGGGGTCATATGAAGTGGTGGGGTTCACACTCAGGTTGCCTGCATGCCAGGTAAGCACCCTACATACTGTACGATCTCCCTGGCTTTCAATGTGTTATTTTAAAGAGTTTTAACACATTGATGTGGGAATGTACCACCAGTAGCTCACACCGGGATGTGGCTTAATTAACATTAATCGCAGCCCTCATCCCCCTCTGTCAGCACGTTAATGAATCACTTTATATAAATCTGTGTAACAGAAGGATTTAATATGGTGCTCCTCAATGCAGAGCACCAGTCAGGGGGAGCCTCTGAGCACCCCTGAATGTAACCCCCAAAACAAAATCAAATGACCCACTCAGTACTTTGCCCATAAAAGGAGAGAGCTTAAACAGAATGCTGCTGAAAGCACGACATGTATTTTTATTTTCTGTACTTTGTGTGTGACACGGGGCCTGGGAGTGTTTAGTCCACCTTGTTTACCCTTTTTTAAATTAGAGAAATGCTTTTTTTTTTACTATTTTTAAACTAGATTTTTCCCCCTCTGTCCCTTTCGATCTGTTGTTCTGATTTTGAAACCTTACTCAGAATTACCGTGCAGTTTGTAATGAGCTGAGTAGACACCATCTGGGGCCATTTCTCTTAGCATCTGCTAACTCTGAGCATCGCCTGGTGACCTCCTGAACTGCAAGCAGAGAGCTAGTGTCTCATGAGCCATGAACGCGGCCCTTCCCAGCCGACCCGCTGCCGTGCTCAGCCTCCTGTGCTAGCTCCGTGGCTCCTGCCTAAGCTAATCCACAGTTAGTGTGAAGCAGCAGAAGGCTTCAGAGGCGTCACTGGCATCCCTCTGTCTTCAAGTCTTTATGTACAGTCCCCACTGAAAAGGTCAGTCAATACAAGGAAGCTGACGCATCTTTTTTAAACCCTGTGGCTCCGGTTGTTGGGATTTCTGGGGGTCTGAACATTACTGAAATACTGAGAATTGAAGACACTCTCCGGGTGTTCTCTAAGCGAGTCTCCAAGTGGCCCAAAGGCCACTCTGGCAGGTGCAGACAAAAGCGCATTCCCCGGAGTTGTGACCAGGACGAAGAAAGCCCCTTAGGAAAGGGCTGCAGGGGGCGCGGACACCACAAACCCGCATCCTCACTTCACTAATGGGAAAAACTGGACAAAGATTTTTTTCCTTCAACAACTGTGATGCCCTCAGGGACATTCAGTGGCAAGCTGACAACCAATAGGAGGTCTCGGCTCAGTCCTTAAAAAAAAATCTGATTTAATTGTACTGAATATTAGCACAAACAACAAACACTGTTCTCCCGTTGTTCATCAATTTGCTCGAGCGGGCCCAGTAATGTCTCCATTGCGAGACTTCTTGTTACTGTGTTTGGCATACTGAATACTCTCGGTAGCTTGCCAGGCTCTGAGAGAGGCGGAGGAATCGAACCTGGCTCGGCCAGGCTGGCTGCATGCAAGGCAAACGCCCTGCTGCTGTGCTGGAGTGATAGCACAATATTAGCACAATTTAAAAAAATGAATTAAATTAAAATCAAAGCCTCAATAGGAAAAGGAACAAACACGATAACCTCCCAGTATCTATATTTTTTTTAAATAATTTTGCTTCATTTAATTTTTTTTTTGAGTCACATCTAGAGATACTCAGGGGTTACTCCTGCCTCTGCACTCAGGAATCACTCCTGGTGGTGCTCAGGGGACCATATGGGATGCTGGGGACTGACCTCCTGTCAGCTGCATGCAAGGCAAATGCCCTACCTGCTGTACTATCATTCCAGTCCCTCTCAGTATCTGTATTGCAAAACTATAGTACCCAAAAAAGAGAAAGAGGGGAGGAGAGAGAGAGAGAGAGAGAGAGAGAGAGAGACAGAGAGCCAGAGAGAGAAAGGAGAAAGGGCCTCCCATAAAGGCAGGCTGGGAGGGAACCTGGGGACATATACACTAACACTGGTGGAAGAATGGGTATTGGGTGTTGTAACATTATATGACTGAAACCCAACCACGAGGAACTTTGTAACTGTGTATCTCATAGTGAGTCAATTAACAAAAAGTAAACTAATAAAATCAAAGCCTCAGCTTCATCACCAGTCACACCGGAAGCTGCATCCTACCTCCCTGCTAGGAACTTGCTCCTGGACCCCTCTTAGCCTCTGCCTCACCATCAGGAATAAAAGAGCTACGTCACTCCAGTGCCGCCCACTCGGGGCTGCTGAGACTATAAAGAAAACAGCAGGGGATGATCCTGGCACGTCACAGCAATTCAATGCACCTTCACCACACATGAACTCTCCCAGGGCTCCTGGTCCAGGCTGCCCATTTTACAGGTGTGGTAACTGAGGTTTGGGGATTTGGAATAACCACCTCAGAATCACAAAGGATAAGCAGCAGGCAGGGCTCAGAGCCCCTGAGCATCTCGGGACTCCCAACTCTCGCCCTGCCCTTTTTCGCATGCATGACAAGCTTAGCAGCCAACCTCTCCCCAGCGTGGAAGGTTTCCCCCCCATCCTCACGACAACCCACTTAGAACCCCCGAGTGGAAACTGTTCCAGCTAAAACCGGGAGTGGGGCCAGAGGGAGAGGGAGAACGTGCCTGTGAAGGGTTTGAACTTGTTTTCCAGGTCAAACTGCTGCTTTCCCAGAACCCCGAGGTCGACTTTCAGGTCCGGGCAAATTGCATATTCCTCGATGGTCTTGCTGATCTGGAAGATCTTATCCGTTATGGCTTCCGGAGCAGGGCCTGGGAGTCACAAAGCAAGCAGTGGGTGGTCACGTGGTGTGGCCGGACACCGATGGACAAAAAGCTCACCTGGGGCCTCCCCACTAAGCTTGTGGCCCAGGCCTGGCACAGGCAGCAAAAGCCTGAGAGTTCACACAATCACGTCCCTGCCTGTCCACAGGTGGTTCCTTATCTGTAGAAGCATGGCGGGAAACACATTTCCCTCCCACTGAAGACTCCGGCTCAGCCACAGATCAGCGCCCGAGAGTTCACGGGCACCCACCAGCTGAAGAACTGGGCGGTTGGGGGCTGGAGCGATAGCACAGTGGGTAGGGTGTTTGCCTTGCACACGGCCAACCCGGGTTTGATTCTCAGCATCCCACGTGGTCCCCTGAGCACCACCAGGGATGATTCCTGAGTGCAGAGCCAGGGGTAAGCCCTGTGCATCGCCAGGTGTAACCCAAAAAGAAAAAAAAAAGAACTGGGCAGCTAGGGTCCTGTAACCAGAGCGAACTCACCGCCATTGGAAATGTTGAATTTGATGCCAAAGTCTCCATTGGGGCCCCCGGGGTTGTGGCTGGCCGTCAGGATGATCCCTCCAATGGCGTTGATCTTTCTGATGATGCAGGACACTGCCGGGGTGGACAGGATTCCGTTCTGTCCAATAACCAGGCGCCCAATCTGCAAGGAAGCACAGAGCACACACTTCGTAACCTGCTGGTCCTGCAGCCAAGGTGGAGGGAACCTTCAGGGCCAGGCAAGTTGCTTCTCTTTCTTTTTCTTTTCGCTTTTGTTTCTTTGGACCAGTGTGGCAGTGCTCAAGGATCACTCCTGGCGGGGCTCAAGGGACCATATGGGATGCTGGGGTCGGCTGCATGCAAGGCAGATGCCCTACCCACTGTGCTATAGCTCCAGCCTAGCGAGCTGCTCTTTAATAAATACATACAACTCGAGCTGAGAGGCTGTTGCTTTTTTTCACTAGAATCTTGTAACTATGTTACATACCATTATGGTAGAAGTGGAATCTCTGGAATTGGTTGTTTGGGGTAGTATGTGATCTGGTGGGGGGATGGACGCAGTACAGGAGACCCCGCAAGAGCACAGGGAGTATTTGCTCCTGCTTTCTCTACCATTCCACACCAGATTCACAGCTAGGATAGGCTTGGAAAATGGTGAGAAAATTAACACTTGTACCCCATTCAGTACCCCGCTCATTCATATTTTCAAAAAAAGGAAAGGTTTTTTTTTTGTTTATTTTTTTGTTTGTTTGTTTGTTTTTTGGGTCACGGGTGATGTTCAGGGATTACTCCTGGCTCTGCACTCAGGAATTACTCCTGGTGGTGCTCGGGGGACAATATGGGATGCTGGGAATCGAACTAGGGTCAGCCGCTTACAAGGCAAACACCCTACCCACTGTACTATCACTCCAGCCTGGATTTCTTCTCTTTAGAAAAGAAAAAATGTTAGGCTGGAGAGAGCGCACAACAGGTGAGCCACTTGCCTTGCCTGCAACTGACCCGGATTCAATTCCCAGCCCCTCATATGGTCCCCCAAGGCCACCAGGAGCGATCCCTGAGTGCAGAGCCAGGAGTGAGCCCTGAGTACGGTCAAGTGTGGCACCGATAAAACTAAACAAACAAAAAGCTGTCTTTGGGGCCACACCTGGCAGTGGTGGGGGCAGATGGTGCCTCCTGGTGGTTACCCTTAGGAATTGCTCCTGCCCGTGGCTGGGGACCACATGGTAGCAAGAACTAAACTAGGATTCCTGTGTGCAAAGCCTGTGCCAGCCCACTAGTGATCTCCCTGCCCCCTGTTAAAGGACTCCTACCCAAAGGGAAAACATGTGCCAATTTAAATGTTTGGGAAGAAGCGCACAAGTTCCTAAGAAACAAATTTATAAAATGAGTTTCATAAACATGTGTTCCCAGCTGAGCGTGGCGTTTGCTAGAGGGGGGTCCCTGCATGGGGAAAGGCCTGTTCAGACATACCAGGGCTCCCTTGGGGGAGGAGCGGCCAGAGCAGGGCATGTGGGGGCTATCACTGAGGGACAGGTCCCAACCACCTGCAGGAAAGGGCCACAGTGCACCGGCCCGGAGCTCTTGGCCCACTCAGCCTCATCCTCCCGGATCACATGTGACACATTTCTGCTCCAACACAGCCCAAGCTGGGAATGAAAGATGAGGCCCTTTCACTCCCTCTGATCTTCTTGGGGCGGTAACAGCTCCAGGGATCATGAAACAGCAACGGGGGCGCAGAGCGATAGCACAGTGGGGAGGGCATTTGCCTTGCACACGGCCGATCCCAGTTCAATCCCCAGCATCCCATATGGTCCCCCGAGCCAAGCACAGCCAGGAGTGATTCCTGAGTGCAGAGTCAGGGGTAACCCCTGAGCATCGCTGGGTGTGACTCAAAAAGCCAAAAAAAAAAAAAACCACAGCAAGTGGGGGTCGGGTGGTTTCTGCTCGGCATTTCTCCTGTGCCAGGAAGAAGAGAAGGCATGTTGTTGGGGGTGAACTTGCCAGTGAAGATTTCCAGACTCCCTGGGAAAGTCGTTCTGGAACCAGGCACCCCATTGCCTCCGTGAAGGTCTGCCCAGCCCCCCCCCGGGGGCGGCAGGTGTATCCCCTGGTTCCCCGGGGGTCACCTCTGAACACTATGGGTCTTCTGGGGCAGGTTCCACGTCTGCTCTGCCTCTCAGGGGAAGTGGGATTACCGGGCTGTCACCCGCTCCTGCAGGGACTCAATGAACGTGTGGAATACAGCACCTGCTTGTGGAGTGCATGGTCACGAGTTCAAGTTCCGGCTGCCCCCCATGTGCTGACGGGCACCCTGGGCGGCTCTGCCTTCTGTGAGCCCCAGCTGCACTACAGCCTGTGGGAGCACCATGCCAAGGGGTGCAGACCCGGGAAGGCTGTGTATGAGCACTGCAACGAGCCCCCCTCCCCGCAGAGCACTAAGGGGACAGACCCCAGGGTGTTCATGTATAAGCAACACAACCAAAGGAGCACAGACTCTGGGAGCACAGACTCTGGGAGCACCGCCACTGAGTATCCTAGCAGCTGCTCTCTCTCTCGTGGGTATGCCTCCTTCCAGAGCATTCTCTGGCGAGGCACCCCCAGAAACATCAGCCCAGCCCTCGACCTCACTTGGATATGAGACTAGTCCGTTCCACCCTCTTTCCCTGAGAGATGCCAGAGGTGCCCTCACAGCTCCTGATGCAGTTTCCCGGGCCGCTCTCCCTCCCACCTGCAAGCCCAGCTTCTAACTGCACCCTCCTCTCCTCAAAGATTTCTCTTCCTTCCACCCTGGAATCCAGAAATCCCACTTCAAGAAACAGAGGCAAAAGCCAGCATGACTGACAGAGCCCACGCGCGTGGCGGGATAGTCTACGAGAGCTGAAGGGGCAGCCCCGGGGATCACAGGTCCCCACAGAACCCCACCCACCCATGGTGGGCTCAGCCCCTCACACAAACCTCATCGGGGCATGCCAGAAGCAGTTGCTGGGTGCCACCAGCCACACCCCCACCCCAGGACCAAGGCCACATGTTCCACTTGTGGGAGGTGTGTGGCCTCAGCTGGCAGCAGCTGCTGCCCGGGCTAGTGGGGGCAGCGCCGGGGGAGGGAATGCCGAGCACGGGTAGGGGTGGACAAGACACCCCAGCACACTCCAGCTAGAGGTCACATCACCAACTCCGTGCCCAGAGCCCATGGAGTCTGTGTCTGCACACACTTGACCACAAACATGCAAAATTAAAACCACAGAAGAAATCCCTTCTGGACTCCCAAACACCTGCCAACTGAGCTCAATCCTCCGCCATCAGCCTCATCTTCCTGCCCGTCCTCCTCTCTCACCATCATCTCCTTTCCTCGGCACTCCACCTGGCTAGACACCCCACGGCTGCCCCAATAGTATAGGGTCAAACATGGTAGGGAGTGAAGTGACTGTATAATGTTTCACCTGCAGGTGAATTTGGCGAGAGAAAGTAACCTGGAGGTTTGATCCCTGGCAGCCCGGACGGTCCCCTGAGCCCATCAGGAGTAATTCCTGAAAGCAGAGCCAAGAGTAAGTCCTGGGCACCACCAGGCATAATCTCCCCACCAAAAAAAAAGAAAAAAAATTTTTTAAAACTGAGCTTACATGTAGAGTTGTATATGCAGCTGACAGGGGTTCTTGGGACAGTAATGGAAGGAAGCAAGCATGCTAGTGATGGTGTTGGAATAGTATGTACATGGAAAGTATAATGAAAAGTATTATAAATTCTGGCAGTTCAATAAAAATAGTCCCACTGTAGCACTGTCCTCTCGTTGTTCATTGATTTGCTCAAGCAGGCGCCAGTAACGTCTCACAACAAATTGTGAGACTTGTTGTTACTGTTTTTAGCATATTGAATACCTCACAGGGAGCCTGCCACACTTTGCCATGTGGGCAAGATACTCTCAGTAGCTCGCCGGGCTCTCCGAGAGGGGTGGAGGAATCAAACCCAGGTTGGCCATGTCGGCCGTGTACAAGGCAAACCCCTTACCTGCTGTGCTATCATTCCAATAAAAATGGTTTAAAAAAAAAAAAGTAACCTGGAGTTTTTTTATGTTCCACAAAGGAAACCATGTTCCCTTGTCTGTGCCCTGCCAGTGGTACATGGACATTCTCTGCCCGTCCTAGAATTTCTGTCTGTGTTTATAAAAGCTCAGGGGATTGAACTGGATCTGCTCAGAGGAGAAATGGAGCCCCCCCCCCCCCATCCTCTGGGGGGCATACTAATCGCCTGCAAATGCAGACAGCTTGATGCAAATAAAAATAGAGAAACATGGGGACGGAGCCATAGTACAGCACATAGAGTGTTTGCCTTGCATGCAGCCGGCCCGGATTCGATTCCCAGCATCCCATAGGGTCTCCTGAGCACCGCCAGGAGTAATTCCTGAGTGCAGTGCCAGGAATAACCCTGGAGCATCGCTGGGTATGACCCAAAAGCCAAAAAATTAAAAATTTAAAAATAAAGAAACTGGGGCCAAAGAGAGTCCTGCTGTGGGGTGCAGACTTTGCACATCACTGATGCCGGTTAAATTCCTGGCCCCACTCAGTCCCCCCAAAATCACAGGGTGTGGCCCCTTGGAGGCCCCCAGCCTGGTTCGGACAACAGGGCAAGGCCCGAGCACACCAAGTTCTTGCTTTGAGCTACTGGCCCAGCTAGCCCCAAACACTACCCCAATAAACAGAAAATGGAGAAACTTCTCACACAGGCTGACTGTATGTGATGGCCCATAAACAAAGGACAGCCAGGAGACAGTCAAAGGGCTGGAGCACAAGCTTCGTATGCTACAGAAACCTCTGTACGGGGCTGGAGCAACAGCACAGCGGGGAGGGCATTTGCCTTGCACGTAGCCACCTGGGGTTCGGGAGAGCCAGAAGTAACCCCTGTGCGACCCCAAAAGAAAATAAATAAATAAGGAAACCTCTGTGCATGGTCTTTCCTTCAGATCTCCACACAGGGACGCTGAAGGAGTCAGAATCATGGTCCTGGACTGGAGAGACAGTACAGAGGGAAGCACCCACCTTTGCACATGACCGAGCCAGTCTGACCCCCATCCTGCATAGGGTTCAAGGAGCAGAGAGCCAGGAGGAAGTCCCTGGGAAGGATCCAACTCCCCCACCCCACACCCAAATGATGCAGGGCGCCTTAGGA